AAAATATAAAATCGAGAAAAAATAAGACAACACCTACCCTCACCCTTTAACCAATCGATACCATATGCTCTAAACCATCAACACCTTATAACCTACCCATATACCATATACTCTCTACCATCAACAACCTAATACCCTAAGCAGTCAGTACACATTTCCTTTAACATCAACACCTTATACAACAATCGTATACCTATACGCTGATAAAATTTTACATTTTGAAAATACTTGCCCAACTAAAGTACATAGGTACTTCAAAAGTGAAATTCTAACTTTCGTTTCAAAACATAAATTAAAAAAATATCCTCACTCAGTATCCAACCACAAGCCTCTAATTAGTCTACAAGAGGTTTGTTATGTACGAGTGCATTGCATAAAGAGGGGAAATCGGTGAGAGAGTGGAATGGGATCTCAATTAATGAAGAGTTAAATTGGGCGGATTGTAGTTTACCTCGTACCGCTAAATGTGTAAAGAGACACGCTAGCATTTACCAAATCCCAAAAAAGATGGAACACAGAATTATGTTTAAATTGCGTGAACTCAATGAATGATCAGGATTTTAGAAGCAGAAGCAGATGAAAATAAGTAAAACAAAGAATCGCCACTGAGATAGACAATTATCAAAGGCCCAACCTAATGACAATCCGGAACTCAGTATCTATTATCAACAAACTAGGTGTCATGGGTCATGTACAAGCCCACGTTTGAATGTTATTTAAAAGCCTGCAAAAATCAATGATCAGACCCAGTCCAACTAGAATTAGTCCTAAACGCACCGTTAATACATAAACACAAATTAAGGAGACCTCTCCATCTTATTCGAATCAAATTAGGTCTTCTTCATCTCCTTCCTCAATCCTCTGGGCGAGACAAACACTGCATATCAGGAAACCTTAATTTCACCGAGTGATAGAAGTTTCGAGAAAATGACAATAACGCTAAGACAAGATGACAAAGCACTAGCGACATGAACCCTAGGGTTAGCAAACCTCTTTCAAGGGTTCTTTTGCAAACGAAAAGTTTGATGAACACAATAATAGACATGGTCGCCGTAATCGTGTTAGAAAGAGATAGGCGAGTAAATTCCGCACGGAAATAAAATGGCGATGAACAAAACGTCGATTTGTGGATAAAAGGATTTGGGGTTCAAAACGATGATTATGTGAGGATTTCATATTGGATGGGGATCTTCTCTTCGAATGTGGATACATAGATTTGGCGTATGAAACATGATGATGTTGGGGATTTGAGATTGGATAGGGAGCTAAATCGAATGTGGATCAAATAATAAAAGGATTTGGGTTTCGAAACGATGATTTTGTTGGAGATTTCAGATTTGATAGGCAGCTTATGATCGAACTTCGAACTTGGAGTTAGAGGGGACCCTCCAAGGTGAATGAGGGATCGTAGAAGGGAGACTGGAAATTGGTTAGGGCGGCGGGTCGTATCCATAGGGTTTAACCTCTTAATCGATATCATTAAATCGGGTACAGTTAGGTTGAAGTCCAATTAATAAAGCATAAACGCTTCGTGATGCTTTTGGTAATCTTCCTTGCCCCCGGTTACCCGTACCCCGGATTTTGCCCTGGGCACAGTAGAACTGCCCATATATATATATATATATATATATATATATATATATATATATATATAGATATATATATATAGATATAGATATTTATATCATACACCAGGCAATCTTCACCGTCCGCATCCATCTCAACGGCCAGAATAAATGAGGTAATTTATTCTTTTATATTATGGTAATGTCTATTTGTTATCCAAACCTTATTCAGATTCTTTTATATTATCCAAACATATCGAAATACTAAGAATTAGCCAAATGTTATCGTTTAGTTAGCAATTTTCTTAGTAGTATTGACTTGGCAACGTGATGCTATTTTGGAAGAGTCACATGGAGCCTGGAGGTCAACATTTCAAAATTTTAGTGTTTTAACTAAGAAAAAAGTTACAAAATTATTAACGACAACGTAAAAATGGTTAATACTTTGACGTGCTACAAAACGTTTTGCTAATTCTGAGTATTTTAATAGATGTGACTTAAATAAAAGAATCCGAAAAAGGTTTGGCTAATAAATAGACATTACTTTTTTTTTCCGGTCCCCTTGCTTTGCCAAAAAAAAGTTGACTTCATTGGAAGGAAGCCAAAAGTTTAATTCAATTAGATCTAAAAAGTAAAAAAAATAATAATAATAAAGGAAGATGGACGAATGTGAGGGAAATGAAATTATGTAAATTGAGGTAAAATTTTTAATCTGATACATGCCGTTAAATATAAGAATGAAGAATATAACGTTACAACTGAAAATCGACTTATATGGTTTAAGTGCAACTAAAAAAACTAAATCTACACAATAAATAAAAGTCAAATGAGAAAAACTGGGTTAATTGCATGGTTGGTCACTGAGATTACAAAAAACTTTCATGTTTGGTCACCGAAAATATTTAAATCCAATCTTGGTCACTCAAATTAGTTAAATGGTTCAAGTTTGGTCACTCTCCGTCCATCTCCGTTAAATTTGTCTGATGTGGCAGTCAACCTTCAAAGTTGACCGTTAACTCAGTGACGTGGCAATTAAAAAACAATAAATAAAATAAATTTTAATCTTCTACCATTTCCAACTCATTTTCACATTAAAGTAAATAAATAAAACAAAAAAAATATTATAATTACAAATTAAAAAGGGGCGCTTCCTTGCCACTACATCCCTTCCCCGCAACCAAACCAAACCCAAATTCCCATCCCTAGCTCCGTCCGCTACCGCCGTCCCCGACCATAATTACCTGCACCTCCTCCACCCTCCACCCTCGACCCCGCCCCTTCCTCCAAATCCGTCAACGCACAATAGGTGGAGACGCACAGCCGACCCCAACGACGCGCAGTAGGGGGAGCGATAAATGAGGATGAAATGGAGATGCAGATCTCGTCGGAGCAAGTTCGTGATGCCGCTTCTACGCCGTCTGAAACCCAGCAGCCGGTTGCTATGTCTTGGAATGATAATGGCGGCCTTGCCGATTCTGTTCAGAGCTATCCGCAAACCCTTGGTGTCGATGATGGTGAGCATTCTAATTCTTTCCCGGTGTGCCACTCTGGTAGAAGATTCGTCGATGGTGGGAATTTGATGATGCTCGACGACACTCTGCGCCACCGTCGTTTACTAATAGTCAGGGGATTCATTTTCAGAATTGCAGCGGCCTTGTTTTTGGAATGTATCCAAACGTGTCTCCCCTTCATGAAGCACTGTCGTATCGTATGGTGTATGGGCACTGAGTTAACGGTCAACTTTGAGAGTTGACTGCCACATCAGACAAATTTAACGGAGTTGGACGGAGAGTGACCAAACTTGAACCATTTAACTAATTTGAGTGACCAAGATTGGATTTAAATATTTACAGTGACCAAACATGAACGTTTTTTGTAATCTCAATGACCAACCATGCAATTAACCCAGAAAAACTTGAAGCCTCATTTCAAATTTCCTGCATCTAGAGTGAAAGTAGGAAGGACATTTTGATTTTCACAATTACTTTTTTTATTCATTAAAAAGACACTTTCTAGGATTCGAACCATGACCACTTCAAAAAAAGCAAAGATCACAACCAATCACACTAAGTACATTTGTTGTATCTTTTTAAATTAAAAACATATAATCGTAGAGAGGAAAAAACCCTTCACCCATTTCAAATCCCCTGCTCCAGGAGCGTTTGTAGGAAGGGTAGAATAGGGAGTGTCAATTTTTTTTCTTTTTCCTCTATGGAACGACCCAACTTACCGTACACATGCGGATTTAAACGGGTCCAGGAGTGTCAATTTTTTTCTTTAAGTCCTTTTATTTCTTTGTGGTGGTAAAATATATATGAATAGGCAAAAACAATACTCTTTTTTATTGCTAAAAAGAAAAAAATTAACAATAAACTAATGCATGGATTCTAATGGGCTAACCGCTAATCATAAAATAAAAGAGTTGAATGGGCCTGACCTCACGGGATTTGCTCATCAAGTAAAACAAATGAACATCATGGGTTTGTCATTCTAAAACAAGCTATTTTCTCTAGCATAATATATATTATGATATTATTTTATATTTTAGTGGCTAAAATATAATGTATTTTAAATTTATTCAATGGTTCAACCTCGACCAACCCAATTAGTCCAATTTTTGTCATTTCAAATATATATTATGTAATTATTTGATATCATAATGATTAAATTATATTGTATATTATAGGGAATCGTTTGGTATTTGTTAGTAAAAAACTAAACAGAAAGATCTATTTGGTTATTTTTAACACTAAAACGATCCTAAACGTTTTCAGTTTTCTTTCGAAATTCTATAGTTTTATTCCCGAATCAGTGATGTGCAAATGGCGAATTGCAGTCATCTCTTTTCATTCATTATTTTTTATTTTCAAATAGAAAGTTTAAAAGTATATAATAATTAGAGTTTGGCATGGGTCGGTCAAACAGGCTGAATTTCAAGTTTTGGCCCGTTTTGATCAAGTCTAATTTATAATCATATGGTTCCCTAATACCCGATAAAATCTCAATCCAAACCAATTTGGCAGGTGAGTCCGTGTTTACCACCATTTTCTAGAGATACAGGAACGGTGGTTCCTATATCAAATCGTGTTGCTCATTCTTGATTTCTTTAGATTTTATCATGGCTTGGCAAAAAACTAGAAAGCACAATGATGACAAGATGAAATTATAAAGCAAATTAATCGGCCAACGGGCTGAGTAAAAGCTAGCAACGATTGTGAGATGCTCATTTCCTGAAAACCGGCGGGATGGCAATTTTTTATTCGATTTTCTGGAATCCGGTTTATATAAAACTTACTCCATCTCATCATATTACCAGAAACAATATTGTTTCACAAGGTAACATATACTTGATTTTGGTTTATAAGACTGATTTTTGATTCGTTGCATCATTCATATATCTTTCCTACTAAAATTCACTATTTTTATTACGTGTTTCCAAATAAAACTATACAGCAATAAGCTATATACCCCATTACATTATCAAATTTTATAGCTCACCTTCCTCCGGCCACATGGTCAGGGCCACGCTAGTACTTAGTATGCAACGAAACATATACTTTACATGATAATTAACCCGAACATAAAACAATGAATACCGATGCTACTTCTCTTTTTGAACGAAAAAGTTGGAAGGACAACGTTACATGATGGCAAGTTAGCAGTGGAAGAACAAGGCAAACAATTCACTGCAACTAGGAACCAGCTCATTTGTTATGGTTTTGGGGTTCAACAACAACAACAGCAAAAACCAACCATTCTAATCCGAGAATAGACGTCACAGAATACTTTCTTTCTTTTTTTTGTTTATCCCATGTATGAATGTTCCAGTAAGGCTGAAAGCTGAAAGAATCAGCTATCTGTGGTTATTGATGTAAGTAGAATGCTTGTCAACAATGAGCTCAACTAGTGGCTGTTCCACATCAGAATCAGGCTGCGACTTGTCACGGTGAACTGGGATCTTTTCATCCAAGGTGACGACTATAACCTCTTCTTTACGCGTCTGCAGCTCATTCGCCACGACCATATGCATCTTGTACTTTCTAAGAGCCATGTCAGCCTTCTCCAGAAGAATCTTCGAATCTGTCTCCAACTAGTTCAGATGCAAAGGGAACGGAGCATTGGATAATATACAGTTTTGCTAGATATAAGCACTCACTCACACAAATTGCTATAGACAGGGGCTATATTAATTAATTTTATACCTTGAATGATATGCAGAAAGCCAGTGGGGACCATTCTGTTCTTAGGATAGACAGCATTTTGGGCACTTGAACAAGCCGCATATCCAGAGGCCCAGATGCAGATTGAATCTTGTGTTCTGCCTGCGGTTATCAAGAAATGAAAAGTGAAGTTACTTGCTAGCCTAACTTGGACATCAGATTTTTCACCCACATGCCAAAAGGTAGTGGTGTAAAGCTGATCAGGAAACTACGAGTGCTCAGATTTATGAAAACAGACCATAAAGAACAGAAGCAGGAGATTCCTGGCCTGCTGTTTCAACAAAGAGGTAAGAGGATGAAACATTACCATGCTCTGCCACGGGATGTAGAAGTCTGAAACTGCTGCGGCAAGGAAGAGCATGGCATATCGCCCAAGAGGCTTCATTGCTTGGGCAACAATTTGCAACATCTGTTAAACAATACCGGAAGTTTTTCGGTGAAGAGAGGAATAATATAACTGAAACTCAATCTGAAAATCAGAGAAAGGCCATTTCAAAACCCAAGGAGAAAAAAATGACAAAAGTAACAGACTTGTGCACAGCCATTTTCTAGAGATGAACGAGAAGCCGAAGCATAAAGAGTGCTTGAAGAAGTCACCTGAAGATACTCAAATATAGTAGTGAAAGGAAGTTTTATGAGTAGGTTTCCTGCAACAGCCTGAGACACAAATCAAACCCACACGCACAATGAAAGAAAGAAAGATAGTGTGAAGTGAGTGACTACTATCGGAGTGGAGATGAATAGAGCGATCAATAATGCATACAGCATGATACTTCTTCACTGCTTCCGCACATGATTTCCGCACTGAAAATGTTGCAGCAGAAACCTCCATCATTATACTTACAAATCAGTGATTACTTCCTAAGTAGTTTGAAACGAACCTCGAATGTTGGAGTCATCATCGAGCTCAAGACATTCAAGCAATGGCTCATCAGGAAGCGAACGGGTATATGGCAACACGCTTCCTCTGGATGCAACAGATTCACATGAAAAATTCACAAAAATTTCAGCAGAGCTGATGTTCGTATTCCACTCCCACAATCAGACTGACATAAAGACATTCAGAAACTCTCACATCCTATACAGAAACACAACCGCATAACCAGCCTCAATGAAGTACCTGAACACAGAAAAAAGCAAGAAGAAGAAGAAAAAAAGCTCAAGAAGAAGAAGAAGAAGGAAGGAACAAATTGGAGAGGATAGAATGCGAAGGTGAGTGTATTACTCTGCTGCCGCTGCTCCTCTATGGCCCGAGCTGAAATTATCAATGTAACGAACGCAGCGTTGCTCCAACGGAACCGTGGTGCCACCAGATGTGATGCAGACGACCTTCCTTCCACCTCCTGCTGCCAAATTTCAGAGCGATTGAGAGCAAGGAGCTCGCCGTCGCCGTGTTCAAAATTTCCACAACAGTTTGGAGAGTAGAGACTTGCCTGCGACGGAGTGGAGGTCGAGGAACTCCTTAAGTCTGTTGCTGAAGCCGTCGGTCTCCATGAGAGCAGGGGCTGAGCTGAAGACGGACGCGATCCCTTCCTCCAACGCTGGTCCAGGCGTTGATCCATCAGCAGGCTCCATTCTGGAAAGACTTTCTGCAGTATCCGCACATCAGTTTAGTGCAATTTTAACGTGTAATAGGATTCTGCTGGGCTGGGAGAGCTACCCCAAGCCCTAAAGATTGGAAGAGAAGACAGAGCGGAAAAGAAAAGAAGAAGACAGTAACAATTACCAGAAACAATCAGAAGGCGATTGATGGAGGGGCAAAGTTTGTTGGGATGATAGCAAGGTTGTCAAACCGCGGGTCGACCCGGACCCGGACGAGCTAGCGGGTCATGGGTCAATGGGTCACCCGTTTTAGCTCGGTTTAGCCCGGTTTAGCCCGGAAATATGAAAAGAGCCAATATATTTTATTTATCCTGAATCAAGCATAAAAAAATGCAACACTACTTCAACTACAACACACTTAAAACAAAAAATTTAAAATTAATTTGGCAAGAAATAGGAACAGTATATATGATTTCCTAGAGGGATTCCCTCTACGTTGCCATGATGATAAAGTTAATATTAATCAAGTTCGCAAGCATCAAGATGGCTAGCTGCTGTATAGTACAAACTAATGACAACATTTTTCTCCACATAAAAAAGAGTGGATACCATTATAAAAGAAGAAAACTTATGTATGTGAAACCCTTACCAAATGACAAACGAGTTTGTGGCTTGTGCAGAGGCGACCGGGCAGAGGCGGCCTCAGGCAGAGGCGGAGCTGAGGTGGCCAGGCAGAGGAGGCCGAGCAGAGGCCGAGCAGAGGCGGATCTGAAGGGAGGAGAGGGAGTGGTGAAGGCGGACATGTTCTTCCGCCAGCGATCGCGACCGCGCCGCCAAATTCACCCTGGAGATGGCGATCGGTTGGACACGGCTGCGCTGCAGCCTGCGGGAAATATGAAATGGTGTCTCTAGGGTTAACCCGCTGACCCGTTCCAACGGGCTAACCGGCCGGGCCAACCCGGGTTTGACCATTTCCGGGCTAATAGCAAATAGGGTTGGTATGGCCCGTTTTTTTGGCCGAGTCCGGGTTAATCCGGGTCGACCCGCGGGTCGACCCGCGGGTTAACAACCTTGGATGATAGCTAGGGTTGGTGTTGGAAGTTGTCTTTAGGGTTAATTGGACTCACTTTGCCGGCTATGGGTTTTGAGCTTCATTTTTGTTTCTTTTTGAAACATTTGAATAGGTTTTGTTTGCTGGCTTTTTTTTTCTTCTTCCTTTCTTGATTTCTACGGTATCTTTTTATGGGTTTTATCACTTTGTACTCACTTTTGAAGTGCAATATAAGCAGCTTCTTGTAAAAAAAAATCTACCTACCAAGTGCCTTCCTCCCACACAGTCATTCAGCGCTGCCAGGATTTAAAAGCAGAACAAGGAAGAAACTATATTAGTGTCTCGCGAATAGATCATAGAATCCTTTTCAATAAATAAGTGGAAGTGTGGAACACATTAGCTGCTCGCTTTCAGGTTGGGCAGTAAAGATCAGAAAAGGACAATCTTCATTCTTAAAAGTAGTATTCTTAAGACCAAGGGCGAAAAACGAGGTGGGGAAGCTTTCCATTCCTAATTTTTCTGTAGCTACATCCTCTGGAACCAAAAAATACTTAGTTAGAGACCACATATTGAAAAAGACTACGGAGGCTGAAGATCAACTTTGTTAAAGCAGTCTTGATTTTCCACATTCTCGTCATGTCTGATGCAAATTTCTCCACATCGCTGATCCGGCAGCTCACTTGGGTGGATGTGTGGCAGCTGCTCACTACAATAGCAATCAGATTCAGCGATCCAACCGCACAAATTCAACCTCACACCAAGCGCCAAGCGGCCAAGCCTCATAAAGACACTCTAACTAGATGCCATCAGAGAAGCGTCATATGCAATGATAATCAGATAATAACTGAAAATATGGTTCACTTTTGCAAAGGATATATCACCATTCACCACTAAGATTTAACTTAAAAAAGGGCTATAAGTTCTTCGATTCCTCCAAAGCAGGTAGGCCAATAGAGATCTTCAGTTCCGCATTTCAGTAACTGTGGAGCAACTCAACCACAGCAGAAACCACGCCCTTCCCCTCTGCAGACATGTCTAAGGTTGGGTCTTCGATCTTCCTATTCAGAAGCTTGTCCAATTCCACACGCAATTTCTACAGAGGACATCAATTTAAATGAGGATAATAAGCAAAGCTTACTCCAGATTCAACAGCATTTACTGCTTAAGCTGGTAGATAAATAAAAGAGCCATATATTACCCGAATCAATTCCAGCACGCTCCTTGATGCAGAGAAATGGAGGTAACCGCCAAGCATCTCAATTCCATCGCCATTCTGGCTTGGAACGAGGTTACCTCCAAACAGAAGCAGTGCATAATCCGATATATTTGTCGAATCTCGAACATAAATTCCAGTCGTTTTCACCTTTTCACTGTAGACCATGTATGGTAGTGGGAAGAGGTGGACTCCTGCGTTTACTGAGGCAGGGTGAATGTCAACCTTCCCATCTTCTTTCGTGTAGAATGCAGTGCGTTTCCCTCTCCTTTTGCATTGTACAACTTTTGGGTATAGTCCAGCACACAGGACAGCCGACACCATCTCCAAATCATGGCTGTATTGATCGTAAGCCTGCACCATATCGAATATTGAAAAGAGTATTTGATCCCAAATTCTTCTTTAACTCGAAATTATTCAGGGAAATAAGTTTCTTGTTAATCGAGCAGCCTTACATCAGCGGTCTTGGATCTGTCCACAAACCCAATGTCAGTAAGTAGGTCACGAAACTGCTCTCTCATTTCTTCCATCATCCGCAGAGTTACAGGGGATAAAAAGTTGTCCCAACAGAATGATCTATCACTTCGGGTACGTTTGGCTTCTTTGTATCCTTGGAATGCTTTAACAAGTGCTATGTGGTCACTGCATCAAAAAGTCACAAATGATTATTCTTGGAGATAAATATAACTCATTGCAGCGGATTCATGAGTGGCTGCAAGATAAACAATTCAAAAAGCCTTAAAGCCACCTTACTAATGAAATTTATTCAAATTTTACCCCTTGAAAATAAGAATCAATACTAACTTACTAAGAAGTTACTTGTAATAGTCATTTCTCAAAATTAACTCATTTATTACCATATAAACAATCTACTTGGAAAAAAGTAAGTCACTTCTGTAAGCTAAAGCCAAAACAAACACACCCATGTGTGATACGTCATCTGACCTGCAAGAATCACCAGCAAATGATCTCTTTGCAGCATCAGCTTCATGCTTCCTATCTATTGGAAGGACAAATGGGTCACGATGGGCAAGACCAGCTGCTATTGTTAAGGCAGGACCAAGGCACTGGAAAATGGAACCAATCAGGAGCATCTTGCCGATGTTGGGGTCCATAGGCAAAGTGCATAGGTGGCGACCTGTTCATAGCTTGAATAAGAAACAACCCAATGCGGTAGAGAAAGGATGATAACGATAATGGAAATTAGACATATACCTAAAGGTGTAAGCTCTTCAGTATCATCCAAAGCCCCGATGGTTTTTAGAAGTTCAATTGCATTTTGAACGGAGAGAGAATCTGGTGGCTGAAGTGCCTTGGCAAGAAACGAGCCAACAGCTCCAAGCTGCAAGCTTTTCACATGTAGGCACAGCTCTTGCAAAGGGGTACGGAGGATTTCAGGTAACTGATACTGAAGCATCGCATCATGGATAACCTTCGGATATAGTTTGTAACAAACTCCTGGTTGTACACGACCGGCACGGCCCCGCCTCTAATGTTTTTCCAGTATTCCAAAAAAACAAATCTATTAATTTGTGAAAAACCTAACACGAATTATTAAGATCTTCGGGAATCACGAAGTAGAATTTTTAAATACTTTCAAGGTAGAAGCAAGTACCTGATGTGCTGAAGCCTTTGAGATCCAGCTTGGCAAGAGGCAAGCCAGCTTGTTTAGAGCATCGTAGCTGGTTTCCTTTGCTTTTCCACAGTCTATGACATACACAACATCATCAATGGTGATACTACTCTCTGCAATATTCGTTGCAAGAACAATTTTTCTGCACAAGCCAATCAAGTTGTTAGGTGAAAAATACAATTGAGAAAAAACTCAAACTTTCACGCTTAGGCTTTACGGTGATATATATCAAAGTGAAAAGAAATAGCAGTAGAGGACATATATATCACTATCACAGATGTTGCAATAGTTTGGTAACAATGACAAAAAAAAAGCCCAACAATAAATATTAAAGCTACAACCATAGATGACAGCCACGGTAACAGAACAGATAAAGAAAGATACCTCTTGTTAGGGGGAGGACGGTCAAATATCTCCCGTTGATTGATTGTAGGCATTGAACCATGCAAAGGAAGCACTAAGAACTTGCTTTGGTCTCCTAGAAGTCTGTTTCCTTTTATCTTGTCTAGTAGCTTGGAGATTTCATCCCACCCAGTAAGGAATACCAGAATTGCACCATCACCTTCACTACGGCATATATACTCAATGCTGGCCTCCACCTACAAAAAAAATTTTAGAAGAGTCCATTACACATGCAGAAGTAGGTAGCTAAATTATCAGTCATAAATCTATGATAAATCTACTTTTAAGAAAAAGTGTTGTGTGCTTAAAAAAAACGATCTGGAAGAATGACAATTGTGTTCAATGGATATCTTTTTGTCAGAGAGGATTTCTCTTCAAATCACGCAAAAGTGTTAAAACGTTTATGTGGGTTCTCAGAGTACAAACCAGGCCCAAATCAAGTTGCGAACTCGACCAGGCTTCGAGGGACATCCGTGTAGATGCACTGTAATTTCTGTAGTGAGAATCAATGTCAATGTCCTGCATAGAGAATGGTCCAAGGATGAGCAAATGCAATAGACGTAAAAAAAATTAAAGGCTCGCCATGATCAAGAGCTAAGATCTCTTAAGAACAGGTTATTCAGTTCACAATTTAGCATGCCTCAAACAATTCTGTCAATGGATCTTTCTTTGATTCTTGATCTCTTCTTCTTCTGCCTCTTCTTGAACTCCCCTGCATATTGTCAGACTCAGGTTGTATCTTATAACGGCTTTTCTCCAGAACATCCTCTAGAAAGAAGTCGACCACAGGAAAGGTAAATCCCTGCCAAACCACAGAATTCAAAGATTTGACAAACAAATGCAGGAAAAAAAAACAGTTTGCAGTACTTGAAAGTATTAGTAAAGAATATTACAATACCGGTATGTGAATCGTTGGTGCATTTCCAAAGTATTTTGAGAACAAGTCTGCATTGATTGTTGCACTCATTAGAATGAGGCGCAAGTCTGGTCTCCGAGGAAGGAGATCACGCAAAATAATCAATAAGAAGTCCTCGTTCATGCCCCTCTCATGAATTTCATCAACTAACAAATGTGTGACACCGGTTAAATTTGGATCCTGAACCTGTACAGAATATATAATTTAGAACTACCGAAATAAGGAACTTTCTAAGAAATAACTATTAACTTGATCACTACTCATATACTACTATATATTCCGTTGCACAGTCGCAGAACATCCAGATCATGACATTTAGTTAACATGGTCCAAAATTCTCTCCAAGATGAGTACAATGTAGATGCAGACAGCATACAAAATAGTATTGGACATTATCAAACTACACTCTACAAGTAACAATCGATAAGTAAACTACCAATTGTCTCAGCAATACGCCAGTGGTGCAGAAAAGAAGCCTAGTTAGAGCAGATCGCTTTGATTCCAGGCGAATCTGATAACCGACACTTCCACCAAGAGGCTCTCCTCTTTCAGAGGACACCCGAGCAGCAACAGATATCGCAGATATACGACGGGGCTGTGTGCAAATTATGCTGCAGGAACCCCCACGCAATGCCGAGATCTCCTCTTCTAATATGTATTGTGGAAGCTGAGTTGTTTTACCACAACCAGTCTCTCCTGAAATTACCAAAACCTGTGCAGATAAATGAAAAGTATCAATAGCCATATCACACTAAAGACGATATCAGACATTCAGCCTAGAACGATGGTTATCTGACTGCATGTCCATTTATATGCTCAATGTAAAACCCTTCCATGCATAGGTGTCAAACAGTAACATAATCATGCGCATACTATTAAACTACAGGTGCATTGTAGTCCATACCAAGGAGAAAAAACACCTCAAAGTTCAATTATGGCAGAAACGTGAACCTGATTCTCCGCAACAGCTTTTAGAAATTCAGCTTTGGCCTTGAATGCAGGCAACTTTTCTCTAAAAGATCGGATTTCCTTCACACCATTGCTTGCCTAAACAAAGAAACAACAACAGGATGGCTTTAAGTTCATGGAAGTACAAGTAAGAAGACGACCTAAAAAAGCAAAAGAAATGCAGCTTTCAGCATGCCAAGAAGACATAAACCAAATGTACATCTCTTGAGAATCATTTATCTACCCTGAGCTCATCCTGCTTCTGCTTTAGTTCCAAACTCAGTTTCTCCTTGGCAGAATCAATTTCCTTTGAGACAGGTTTTATTACTTTCACTGCACTTGATGATTGTGAGGATTCTTGAGGATATGTGGAACTAGAACCATTAGCAGGACTAGCTCCCAGCGAGCTACCAAGAAGACTTCCAACTTTCCTCTCAGTCTCGGTGGACATTCGGATCTGCAATTATGTCCACGTGAGAAACCAGGAAAAAGGTTGTGAAAAGACCAGATATTATAAATTTCTCTATTGTTTGGTTCATTGCCTCTTTCTGAGTGGAGCCATGGCGCTCATCAAGATCTGCCCGGTAATTTGGGAGCGGAACTTTGCTAACCACTATTGTCTTCCCTTTGCTATACGCATGACTTCCTTTCCACAAGTCCAAGTTGACAAAAATAAAAGATGGTAATAAATAAAATTGATAAGGAAAATAATCACAGGCATTATACATATGTGAACCATCTCACCCTCCTGTCAGCTAATGGAAACCCAAACGATAGACCAAACCATGAGAGACGCATCACATTTTGACTAGGAACCAAGAACCTTGAGAAAATATTTTCTTGTGAAATCCAAGAGGGGAATTAATTTGCTTGGAATGGCTTAAAATTTTGAAGTACTTACAAGTGAAGACCAAATTGATATGCCATGTCTGCCAATTTTTCCTGGTCAGCACGGCTGAAACTCCGTTTTATGATCATCTCCTGCTCCCCTCCCGCCTTCATTTGCTCGATCTTATTCCGCCATTCATTTTCGTCAAGAACCTCCATCTGTAAACGGTGAAGGAACATACATGACTCATCACAAAGAGAAATGGAACGATCCAATCTATATTGCAACGGCGAGCTGACTGAGAGCATAACAATTAACCGGCCATATCAATTCAGCCTCTCCATAGTTTGGCTTTCTTACAGCTAACCTAGTCCCAATCAGCTATCATGCAAACCAGAGGGGGAAAGAACGTTATCCATCTTAGCTAAAACCCTACCTCCTAAGCAAATTGACCAAAGAGAACACAGTAATTTGAGGAACAGACTCTATTACCTCAGCAGCTTGCTGCCTCAATCGCTCCGCTCGCCAGACGGGGTCCCACCAGCGTTGCTCGCCTCTTCCTCCACCTCCGCCTCCGCCTCCACCTCCGCGGCCTCCTCTTCCTCTTCCTCCGCCGCCGCGGCCAGGCGCTCCACCTCCCCGGCGGCCGCCCTGGTAGTTAGGACGATAAGCCATGGGGGGAACAGAGATCCGCCGATCAAACAGCAAGCTGCCAGCAGGTAGGGATGCAGTTGCAGGTGGTGGTAACGAGAGACGTCGGGAGAATAGGAGGGGGAAACGTGTTACCGGTCCGGAGCGAGCGCAGATACATTTATTTATAAGCATGGAGAGCGCAGGCGGTTAGTGTGGGAGTTTGGCCGAGTTACGTGTTGAAGACCGGGGAGTCGGATTGCTCACTTCTTACTTCTTAGTTCTTACTTGGGACTTGGAAGTTGGGAGTTATGAGTTACGACTCGCACCCATTCAAACAAAGAAAAGAAACGCATTCTATCCAACCAAACTTAATTATAGATATGCTACCCAATTAGTTTGAAGATTAAACTTTAATAGGACTAACTATAATGGTATTTGACGGAGTATGTTTTAGGTATGAAGTTTAACAGTTTATGTACGAAGATTTGTATTAAGTCGAGTTGTTGTGAGGCCTTTCATAGAGCTATTTCTCTTTTGGTGAATTATTAATCCAATAAATCACGGCCATGTTATTTCTTTAATCAACATTTTTTTACTCGACACTTGTCACTTTCTCACCAAGTTAAGTTTGATTAAAACTAAAAGTTTACAAAATGGGTTATAGGCAATGGCGGACCCAAAATTGTTGGAGAGGGGTGTCACCGATAAAAAATGATAATAAATAAATACAAATTAAAAAAAAGGCACTAGAAATGAATTCATAAGTTCACCATGTCATGTTTACTATGACGATTTTTCATATCCTAAATTTTTTTAAAATACATTCATCGTTTATGTTGCAAATGAAACTTTTTTCGATATACACAACTAAATAATCATTCATAAATTAGTCATTCAACAGAAGAGAATCAACCCATGTCTAAATTCAAAGTTAAAATAAATTTGTTTACTAACACAATCTACCAATTGGGAATTTTAGACAAAAAAAAAGTATGTCTAAAGACATATCATTTAACATTTTTTCTCTTGTTCTACCAAATTAACCAAACTGAAACCACAATCTACCATAAATCTACTCAATTCACCTATTAACTACAAATTTACAAGTTAAATTGGGGAAATTTTGGGTTGTGGGTTATTTTAAAAAATTATGCTTACTTGATTTTACTTATTATTATTAATTATGTTGAATAAATTGATAACAATAAAATTATTGTCGTATAATGAAGGTGTGTCTTATAATTATTAGAGCAGTGCCGAAAGTCCCAAATTAAAATCTTTTGTACAGAAAAAATGGAGGGAGCTCACAAAATTTTCGGGCAAAGGGGTGTCGGAAAACACCCCTTCTCTAGCCCTAGGTCCACCTCTGGTTATAGGTATATTTTGTTCCTCTATTATGTATTTTTTCTTAAACGTGTCCATTTAATATAAATCATGTCAAACTTGTCCTTCTACTATCAAACAATTTTTCACACATACCCTTCCGTTAAATTTCTCATCCCAAAACTGTTATATATGGTTGAACCACGACCCGAGCAATGTTAATGATGTTTTTACCCTTGTAAGAGTTCAACATAAATGAAAAGCACAAAAAAAAAGCTTTGGAGGCCTCTCCACCCTTTTCCCCCGTCAATGTCTACACCCCTTCGCCCTTCTACTCTTCCTCTGGGTCAACGACAGCGGTGGCGATAGTTCATGTGATTTGCGACGCGTCCACGACAGTAGCAAACAAAAATCAACGACCGAGGCTCTTTGTCGACGGCCATAACTTTGACAAGTTGACGACCGCAACAACTGCAATTGTTGTAAAGGGCACCACGAGTGATTTCAACGACGTGACTTCTCTTCATCTTCATCAATGCATTTATCAAGATTTGAAATCCAAACCAAGTACGTGATAGAACTTCACGCCGAACAGTGCTCTTCATTTCCATCTTCCTCTTTGCTCGTTTCCTTTGAGGGACCAAAGATTTAAAGCGCTAAAGGCCAATTCTCCCCCCCCCCCCAAATTTAATCATCTCTGCTCATTATGTGCGTTTCCTTTTAGTGTACCGATTCCAGAATAAACAAAAACAAAATCTTTTTGTTTTGTGTGTGTGCTAATACCCAAACGAATAAGGAATTTAGGGTACGCTACCTCTCCATTGTCATGGCACAACTGCACTAGATTAAGAAAAGAATTTATTTTTTTTGGTAGGAAGCAGGGTGCTAGCGGGCACCCCAACCGTTATTCATTACGAACTAAACGAGGAGTGGACACTCCAATACAATCAAAGTATAGCCAATAGTTTAGGATCGGACAATGGCCATCAACAAAATGAACACTTGGGGGTTGCCCATGTCCAAGAGAAGCTAAGTAGTCGACAACCACGTTGCCCTCCCGGAACACGTGAACAACTTCCACCTGCCAATCGAGAGCCAGGAGTCTTCTCACTTTGGAGACCAGTTCCAAGTGTGGGTGTCATTCCCCTGCTCCTTCAACGAGTTGTATAGCTGCATGAGAATCGGTATGGACCTGCACCTGTCGTAGTCCCATCTCCCACGCTGCTTTCAACCCAAAAGCAATGCCCGCCAATTCTGCTCTAGTAATAGACCCTTCCCCCAAGTTACCGGAGAACGCTCTCACCATACGACCATCATCCCTCCGAATAACCCCTCCTGCAGCTGCATTTCCACCCACCACCGACCCATCCGTGTTGAGACATGACTAGCCCGACAGAGGGGGCTTCCAAGCAATCAAACGCTGGGAATGGACAGCCCCACCAGCGAAGACTAGCGCTGATTTCGTGGCTGCCTCTTCAATCTGTTTCTACAACGTCACCACTCTACAAGGTAGGGAGCTTGTCGAGTCCAGCTCCTTCTCGAAAACAAACTTGTTCCTGTTCTTCCATAGCATCCAACACATAACAGCAAAGCGGGTCTATGTCACACTCAAGCTACGTCCAACAAGGTAGTATAGGATCCACCTGTTTAGATCAGCCTGGAAAAAAGTCTCATCTGGCACCTCGTGAAGGAAATCCGCCCAAGTAGCTCGAGCATATGGGCAGTCTCTAATGACATGCAAGTTCGTCTCCTCATCTCTACCACATATGGGGCAGTTCGCCACAGACGTTAGATGCCACCTCCGCCTTTCACAATTTGTAAGTAGTCTCTGGTGTGCTACTAGCCAAAAGAAAGCACGAATCCGCTGCATTGCAGGAGTTCGCCAGAGCGTTTTCCACATGGGATGCGTGCCAGCAGGACTCTCCTCCTCCACAATCAACGTATAAGCCGTCTTCAACGAGAAACAGCCATCTGGAGTAAATCGCCAAACGACAACATCCTCCCCTGCTTCATGAGGCACCGGATGTAGCTGGATAGTGCTGATGATATCATCCTGCAAAAAAGCACGAAGGTAAGGTAGGTTCCACTCGCCATTGAGGACCAGTTCAGCTACCGTCAATGCGAGTGCTTCTTGCGGGAGATTTATCGCCAAATCTGCTAATACCGGTCCGTCTTGTAACCACCGATCAGTCCAAAATCGTGTGTTCTTGCTACTCTTAATATTCCATATAACTGCGTCCGGGAGCAGGTGGAGAATCCGAAGGACACCACGCCACAGGTTAGACAGTTGGCCATGAGTTCTTGGCTGTCATCCCTCCTCCGTTCGACGTAGATATTTTGCCAGTACAACACTGACCCATAGGCTCTCCGGTTCCGCCATCAATCTCCAAGCTATTTTGAGTATAAAGACTTTATTTTTTCTAGTCGCACTTCGAATCCCAAGGCCTCCTTCCTCTTTAGGGTGACATATAGTTTCCCAGTCAACCAAGTGAATCTTCCTGCTCCCTCCAAGCTTCCCCAGATAAACGCTCTAATTTTCTTGTCGATATATTCCCTCACACTTGCCGGAAGAAAGGTAGTTTGCATGATGTAAGATGGCAGTGATGAGAGTACCGCCTGAGCCAGTGTAACACGTCTGGCCAAGGATAGAGTCTTGCTTTTCCAACCTGCGAGGCGAGAATCCACTTTATCAATTAGATCAATAAAAGTTGCCTTCGAAACACGGTCATGAATAACTGGGTCGCCAAGATAACGTCCCAGGTTCTTCATTTCTGGTATCCCCAAGGCAGAGGAGATTTTCGCCCCTTGTGCTACTGTAACGTTCTTCGAAAAGAACACACGTGATTTTGGCTTGCTGACTTGTTGACCCGAAGCTACACTGAAGTCATCCAAGCACTGCATGAAAGTTGTAACTTGCTGCATGGATGACTCACCAAACAAGATCAGATCATCTGCCAAAAATAGGTGTGAAAGTGTAGGCCCATTAGCCAAGATCCTGATGGTTTTCCACGCGCCTACGTTCACTGCTGCCTTCACTAGATGACTTAATCGCTCCATACATAGGGTGAAAAGGTAGGATGAGAGCAGGCAGCCCTGTCGGAGTCCTCTCGAGGGAGAGAAACTGTCAGTTAGTCCACCATTCCACTGAATGCGCATACTGGACGAGGAGATGCACTGCATTGCTAGAGCAATAAAATCTCCCGGTAACCCTGCAGCCTACAAAGTATCCTGCACAAAATCACATTTGATGCAATCGTACGCCTTCGCGAGATCAATTTTAATACCATCCAGCCCTTATGCCCCGTCTTAGCTCTCATAGAGTGCACCGCTTCCTACAAAATGCAAACGTTGTTAGTAATATGGCGTCCAGGGACAAAACTCGTTTGAGTTTTGTCCACCAGTCTCGCATCCACAATTTTAGATGCTCCGCCAGGCACTTAGTCATGATCTTATACGGTACGTTGCACAGGCTGATGTGCCGATACTGCTCGATCAAGGATGGCCGAATGACTTTTGGAATGAGCATCATAATAGTCTCGTTCACCAGCTTTATCTTCGTCGGGTCAGCCAAACAGTCTCGAGAAAATTGGACCATCTTTGCTCCCACCGATGGCCAGAACCTCTGAAAGAAAATCGGGTGTAAGCCATTCGTGCCTGGTGCCTTGAGAGCACCCATCCCCATGACTGTCCGCCGAACCTCCTCATCCGTGAACGTCCCCGAGATGCTTTCCCCAAGATCTTCTGCCACGTTAGGGAACAAGGACGGCAAGATTTGTATGGAGCTTGGTTCGTCTGTGTACAAAAGCTGAAAAAACATCATGGCCATGTCCTGTAAGAGTTGTTCGTCTTCCACCCAAGCTCATGTCTCATCCTGCAGCATATTAATTTTGTTCTTCTTCCTTCGCTGGACCGTGCGGGCATGAAAGTATTTGAAGTTCTTATCTCCCTACGCGAGCCAATCTAGTCTAGACTTTTAGCACCACGGTATTGCTTCTTGTAGGAGAGTATCTTCAAGCTCCCGGCGGTATTGTTTTAGCTGCGGTACATCAGAATCCCCACCTCCTGCCATTTCCAAGCGCTCAATCTTAACCAGCAAGGAATTTTTCCTTTTAGTAATATGTCCGAAGGTGTGATGGTTCCATTCTTTCGCTGCCGTCGTGAAAGGTTCCATTGAACTTTTCAAATTTGTCCCTAGAGACCAGGCTTGCTCCGCCATCCCTTTAAAATCCTCATGCATCAACTAGGAAGCTAGAAAGCGGAACAGTTTCGGCCCAGCAGGCTGGTAGGATGAGTTCGTGTGGACTAAGAGAGGTCGGTGGTCCGACTTGATTTTTGGGAGGTGTCGCACCAAGCTCTCTGGGAAAACAGAGTGCCAAGCAGCATTCACCATCCCTCGGTCAGGCCTCTCCTTTTTTCCTGCATGGAACCACGTAAAAGGTGACCCCGAGAATCCCAGGTCGATCAGCCCTGCATCAAGGACACAATCTTGAAAATCTCTAACCCTGCTAGAGTCAAAAGGGGCTCTACCCAATTTTTCAGAAGCATGGAGGATCGAGTTGAAGTCTCCCGCCACTAGCCAAGGGTTAGATATATCCTACGCGATGTCTCTAAGAGAGTTCCACAGCCCCCGACGCTGGATAAGAGCCGGGTTGCCATAGACAGCTGTGAACATCCACTTCGTAGTCCCTTGTTCCACCGATACATGCAAGTGTTGAAATGACCTATCTTTCTCTTCGACCGTATTGCAGGAAGAGTTCCATAGACCGATAATTATACATGTTTTCACCCCTATTCTGAAGCCGTTTGTGATGAGGAATCTCGTATTTTAAGCCGATTTCACGCTAGGTTGTGTGTTTATGTCATATTTCAGGTCTTGGCGTTGGAATCGAGGCGAAGGAACGAGTTCCGGGTCGAAAGGAGCGAAGATTGGACAAAGGATGCTGCTGGGCCAAAATACCCGGTCAAAGGAAGAAATACCCGACCGGGTATATTCTGGCCTCGACCGGGTAATTCCTCCTTCGGGCACCCATGAGAAACAGAAGGGGGCCCGGGCGATGGCGATAAATCCCCGGTCGGGGATTTTGGTGGTAGACCGGGGATTTTCCCCTTTAGTGGAACGGCGCGTTTCGAAAATACCCGGTCAGGTGGCCAAATACCCGACCGGGTATTCACCACTTTTGGGCGCCCGAGAAGCAGAGAGGGGCCCGGGCACAGCAGCAAAATCCCCGGTCGGGGATTATGGCGATTGACCGGGGATTCTTCCCTTAAGCGAAACGGTGCGCTGCAGAGATACCCGGTCGAAACCCAAAATACCCGACCGGGTATTTCGACCGGGTATCGCGACCAGGCAGCTGATTTAAGGAGGAAGAAGGCCAACATTGAGGGGTTCCGAGTTTTTGAGAGAGAAATCGATTCCTAGAGAGAGAAAGCGACGAACCAGAGTTCCCAAGCGCCATAGATCGATCTTCAACACCATTGGAGCCCGTCTTGAGCTTGGAGAAGTGCGATTAAACGTCCAGGAGCAGGAATCCAACTTTACAGTATGATTTCCGTGTCTGAATCTGCTTTTGCTTCCTTCTCTATGGAGTAGTTTCCCCATTCATCTGGGTATGGAGAACCCTAGATTTGTATGCTAGGTCTGATTGTATGAGCCCAAGTACAGAGTTTGTGAATTGATTATATTCGATTGAGGTTTGAATGATTGAATGACTTGAATCCTGATCAAATTCCTGTTGTTTCTGCTTTAACCTAGAATGAGAATATCTGCCTAGGTTGATAGAGTATCCTTAATCGAAGGTGGCGAATTGGTGACTTTAGTCGAGAAGCCAATTCGCTATTCTGTACCGAAGTCAATTCGGTAGTGGAGGTTTGGTTCATTAGGGCCTCAATCTGTTTACTCCGGTGGAGGTTAGTCGCCCGCTAGAGACTCAGATTGAGAGGGTCTGGAGACCTTTAGTCGAGACTTCAGGCTAATTGAGAACCTTCCGCAGTATAACTTTCATGAAAACTGAACTTGGTAAATTGCAATCTGACTTAACTGCAGTCTAGGGGGAACCATATCCGGGTGACCTCTCTTGACTTGACAACAAACCGTTTACTTGCTTTGTGTTTTGTTTGCTTGAGTTGCACTAAAAGTTCACCGCTAAATAACAAGAATTCACCGAGTAGTCATCACATCTAGGACCCGGGTTGACATTAAAACCCGAACCGCTATACTACGCTTTAGGAAGTGGTTATACTTGGCCATTTTCTAGGGTGACAGTAGGAGTGAGTCAAGTTTTTTTTGGCGCCGTTGCCGGGGACGGC